CCTTCTGCACAATCGACTTGACATTTTGCGATGCAATTGAGGAGGCCGACAAATTGGACGATAGAGTATTCTGTCGGACTGGGGCTTGTATAGGCCTGGACTTAAAGGAAGCACTGCTCCGAGAGCTCAAGCTCCGCACGCATGAAGCGGGAAAGCCGTATCCCCCTCGCCTTGGACTGGCGACTTGATGCCAGCGAGCCACAGAGTTCTGGGCAACAGCCCTTCGCCGGAGCACCTGCAGACAGCGCCCACAAGTATATTCGCCGGTCATTGTGGGTGCAACGCGACGCTTGAACAGGACTCTTGCAGTAAAAAGTGGCTTGATTCTCCCACGCGGCGGCGGTCCTTTTCGCCCGCGTGCACGTGATTTCACCCGGCCGGTCCCCAGAATTAGTACCTTAAGTTACGAGGGAGGGAGTAAAACTAAAAGATGAATAATAGCAAAGGCACGGATCCATTGGGTTCTAATTACATAGGTAGAGACAGTCCGCTTGCGAACCCCAAGTCAAACAGTACCAAGTTAGAAGATGTCCTCGCAGGCGCTCCAGTCGCCGCTCTCGCGACTCGTCCAGTATTGTCCGTTGTGTGCCCAATACTCTTCACCAGTGACCGGGCACTTGGCCCTACTGAACCATTTGGGCTTATACTCCTCGCCTTTCGTCTCTCTTTCTCTCCGCTTGGCGCGCTGCTTCTCCTCCACTCGATGTTTCTCCGTGGCGGCTAAATCATACTCACCCTCCTCCATCGCACGCTGATCGGGTCGAAGTCGTGTGTCGGTAGGTGGGAGACACTCCTTGAGCCCTTCGGGCAAAGCGTTCAGAGTGATGACGAATGGTGTGAGGTTGAATGGAATCCCGCTCGGCCGATCATGGCTTTGCCAGACCAGGAACGTCTTGGCCGATTCAGGATCCTGGCCGGAAACTGTCGCCTCGAACCCTGGGGTATGGCGCGCGTAGATCTTATCATTCCATCGGCCACCGATACTCCACTTGGGCGACCCATCCCGATCCACGACCTTGCCCGTCACCTGATATGCGGATGAAGCCTTCCAGCCCCTTGGTTTGAAATCCAAATAGCAAACTTCGCCTGTGGTCCAATTCTTGATTTCCATCAGGCCGTAGTTGTCCACTGTGGGGCTACCGGTGATAATGCCAATGACGGAAGATGTGACCTTCTTCCAGGTATACAGTTCCTCTCCTCCAGATGCTGGTCGTAGCTTTAAAAACCATGTCCCTAAAAGGTTAATGTCGAACGACTTTCCGTAAAACTTGGACTTCAGAGCAGACTCGCCCTATGAGAAAAGATGTCAGCGTCAATCATATGTCCAGAGGGACGCACGCATCTGAAACTTACATAGTAGTCCCACTTTGGCGACTCGGCCCAAGCAGCACCAATCGGGGGATGATGGCTGACTTGTTCGACAAAGAACCGATACCCTTTGTCCGGCCGGACATATTCGAATGTCTCCCCAAGAAGAGGATTGAAAGGTTTAGCAACACGGCCAATCGTAGAAGCATATTCACTTGCAGCATATGCAGCGACATATACCAGACGCTCCATAGAATCGGGTCGATCCGCTGCAACATCAAGTAGATCTGCGTATTCCAAGTCCTCGGCCACGCGTTGAAGCAGGGATGTAGGCTCATTGAAGGATACCGGGAGAGTCATCTTCGTCATATCCTTCCCAATCATTGACTTCAAAATCCCCTAGAAGCAAACACATGTCAGCAGCTACATACGACTTCAATGGCCAAGAGGGATGATAACATACCCAGAGCGAAATCTTCGGTCTATTGTCGTAATCCATCTTCAGTCTCTGCCGGATGGGTTCTTCATATCCCTTGAACGAAGGCACAATTTCAGATCTCTTCGCGGTTCGGAGCTCATTGGTCTCCTCCAGAGGCTTCTGTTCGCCTTCCTCCGAGCCAGCAAGTTTCTCCACCTCAATTTCTCCGGAATCAATGGCATCGAAGAACTCGTCTTCATCCTCAGACTCCGAGTCATAGAGAGTGCTGATATTGGACATAGCCGACTTCCTACTACGAAGAGTACCTCTAAGTTCTCGATCTTCGAATTCTGGCGAGACTTCTGCTGGCTCCGGCTCTTGAGTTTCGTGTTCGACATCGGCAACTTCTCCACTGGCAACCTGCGCGCGCGACGGAGCTTTACTGACTGCACGGCTCGTGGCTGTTGACTCCAACGCTTCCTTCAACGCCCGCTTGGTACGCTTACGTTTCTCCTCGGACTCGCCCATTCGTGACTGGAGCTCCTCATGTTCCTGAGCGATCCTTGCCATGCTTTCCTCCCACATCTTGCGCAAGTATGCCTCCCTATTCAAGCGATACTGCCAATACGCATCACGGTCCCGGGATATCTTCAAAAGGCTCTGCACTAAGCCTTGTAAACTACTCACAGCTGCTTCATAAGCAACTAAAGCCTGATCAACTGCTGGATCGGAGAGTGATGTGGCAGGATTCTTTGACTTTTCCGCTTGCAGCGAAGACGCGACATTGGCAAGGATGTCAAGCTGGAGTTTCGTTGACTGGGCAGTGATGTTCAAAGCATCTTTGTCCGTGGGCTGCATATCATGACTGGACGCATAGTCACCTTCCTCTTCGTCATCGCCGTCAATATCTGGCGCCGAGGTCACATGGCTCAGCACCCGATTGACTTCATTTGGTGCAGCGGCGTGCTCCATTGACCCGTACAAGGAGCTTTCTTCGTCTTCGGGCGCGCTCCCTGCGGTTGTGTGGGACGCGTACGTGCTGAGCCGTGTGCCACTGCTACTTGGTATATTGATGGAAGGGGGTGCAAGGCTCTTCACGTTGGATCTAGGAATAGCTGAACTTGGAGAGTCGGATATGGTCTCGGACAATCGGCCTTCCACTTGCTCAATCTTGGCCTGGCGAAGTACTTCAGCATGTTTCGATTGACGCTTCTCTTCCTCCTTCGCCTCATCCTTGGCCCATTGTATGGCATTGTTTAGAGTCCAGAACCAACGCTTTGCCTCGACAACGTGATTCGCCTTGAGATGATATTTGACGGATGACTTTCCATGGATCTCGAAGCGGGTCTTGTCCTGCGCATCCATATTGAGCCTAGCAATTTTCATATTGATCGCTCCTCGGCAGGCGGAGCCCGCATCATCTGCAAGAAGTAACCAGTCAGCTATGGCCAAGAAACAACTATACAGACCGGCAAGCATAATACCTTGGTGTTTATAATAGCTCAGCACACCATCTTCTAGAACGAACCATCGCAATTTATAGCCACTTGTATAATTAGTCCATTTCTTTAGGTAACCCCTCATTTCACGGGCTTCCTTGCCAGCAAAAGGCGCCTCGCTACCGCCTGAGCGGCCAGGCACACCTTGAGCTGCGCTGGTGCCGAGAATCGCTTTTTCCTGTATGCCACGTTGTGCGATGACTGCTGCTGGAGATTTCTTGACGATCGCACGGGTCTTGTCATCTTTAGTAACATCCTGAGGCAATTTCCCTTTCTTGTCACGACGGAAGGGATCCGCTCCATGCATCAATAGGATCTGAATCAGTTGTGTGTCCTTTTTCCTGGCACCCTCATGCAACAATGTGCCCCCAGACTGGGCAGTGGCAGGATCCGTTACCAAATCTAAACTGTTGACATCGATGCTGCCCTCTACACGGGGCTCTTCGAGCGCCTTCTCCAGTTTTTCGTATTCTCCTTGAGAGACGAGCGCTTGGATCTCTTGGGTCTTGACGTCAATGAACAGTGAGCGAGCTAGCTGAAGTTGCTGGAAGATTTCTGGAGTGCGCGCAATATCAAGAGCTGTTTGGCCGTTGTAATTTATGATCGAATCGTTAATAGAGGGTTGGTTTAGCAGTTCGCGAATCACTGGACCTCGTCCAAGCTGAGCGGCCAAATGAAGAGGTGTATTGCCCTCCCGATCACGCGCGTTTATGTCAAGGTCCTGGCTGGAGGACAGCACGAATTCGACAACTTGCGGCTCAGCGCATTGAATCGCAAGGTGTAAAATAGTTGTCCCAGAAAGGGCATTTGCTCCCTGCGGCTCCTTGGTCTCTCTGATGGCTTTCGAAATCGCATTCGTGTCGCCGCTCCGTAAGATCTCGAATAGACGAAAAGTCCGGACTGACTGGTCTAAAGACATGCTACTGGTCTCGGCATGTGATATGGAGGGTAGCTTCTCAATGTTATCCCCGCTTCTGTGATGGCCCGCGGGCTCTTGTGACGGTTCAGCAGACATGGGACGTAGGTTTGGCTCTTGAGGGCGTGTACTTCGGCGGCTGGAGCTTCGGGTAGCTGGAACTCCAGATATGGATGGAGTACTATTGGCAAGGGAAGACGTGGCGGATTCGGAGGAGCCACTATCGCGAACGACCGGCTCTTCACGGTTATCCTTCGACCTATCGCGGTGTAAAAGCGCCAGCGCCAGGGAACTTCGAGACCGTTTGTGTCTGCGAAACAGTATGTTATGTTAGCGAGCGAAGCGCCCAAATCGCGGGGCAACCCCAGGTTTCAGGCTGGGCAAGAGAGCTCCTTATGTTCTGGTCGGAGGTTTAATTCAAGAACAACCTAGCGATTGCTTATGATTCATCCCAGGACCCACGCACAAGTGAGATAGCTGAAGGGATGATGGGTATGGCTTGCGGTGATTCAACCACGAGGTCCCGGGGAACCGAAGCGGCAGAGAGAGTTTACTCACCCTTCGCCCCTTTCCGTCATGTCTTGCTGGCCTCCAACACTTGTCTAAACCCGGAACTAGCAGAGGTAGACCGGATAATGATCTGCAGGGTACCAGGCAAGCTAAAATAGAAGTAAGTGAAGGCTTCTGGACTGGTTGGCGTACAACTTTCGTGACTAGTCGCAAGAAATGATGGAGGAGATGGTGATGACGATGTTCTTCCCGCGCGTGGGCCAAGACGGATGGGTTTCACTACCTCCGGAGTAACTACGCGCGATGGTCTCAGCAGGTGAAAAGGGGCTCTCTCTATAGTTACACTGTTCTCTAATAAAACAGAGACAGAAATCTCTGTTGACATATATTGTACAGAATGTGTGGTCCCGCTGGCTTGGTTCCAATGAAATGCATTAGAACAGTCACCTCGTCTCTCCACTAACCAATACAATGACGCTGCCGAGCTGGCGCTTCAAATCTTCCTTGTCGACATCATGGGTATCTTCAACCTCTCCCCACATATCAGTCTGCCACCTGACTTCTAGGCTGGATGCCTCCGCTGCTTCCTCAATGCCGAACCTCTCGCGGCCCGGTCGTTGCACCTCTCGGAACGTCTCACTCCATTCAGCGACCAGACGGACTGCAATCAACAAGCTCTTTGCGGCCAGTATTCCTCTCTCCAGTCCAGCCAGATCGTAGGCCTGCAGACCAGAAATCCACTGCAGAATAATGTCCTTTGTAGCCTGAGGCTGAGAGGCTGGTAATATGCTATCGGTGTCGAGGATAGGCTGGATGTCCACACCGGGCCATACTTTGGTGCTCAAGAAGGCAATTGTATCTTGAGCGACCCGAATTTGGGCCTCTCGGAGGCTTTCCGGTTTCTTCCCATCGGCATCCACTTCATCAGCAGCGTAAGCGTTCTGCTCCGGCACCCAACACAACAGGGTGTCCGTTTCCAAATACCGCATCGCTGTTTTCAATATTTGATCTCTCGTGGTAGTTTCGCCTCGAGCATCTTCTGCGGCAATATCCGCTGCACGGGCGGTCAGAGAAGTTAGAGGGATGAGGTGGTTCTTTAGCGCTTGCTGGGCAGTGGTCATGACATCCCACTCCAGCGCGATCGCATGTGCAAGATATGGCTTCGTTGACGGTATGGATAAAACGTCTTTGGAAGGTGTCCGAATAGGGCGTGTGTCTAGCAGGACCTGATAGTCCCCATCTGAGAACAAAACATGTCAACGCAAGTGTCCCATGTAGACTGATCGCAGGAGAAGAAATGCGTACCTGGCTTCTGCTTGACATCAACATTCTTCCAGAATCGCTTCTTGAGCACAGATGGTTTTCCTGGTAGCGGACTTTTCTCGGTTTTCTGGTACAAGGCCGCATCTTGCTGTAGTAGCTCTGGATTGGCAGATGTAGGTGAAGGGGCCTTAGGTGGGGGGCCATGAGTAGTAATGGGATGAGCAATGGCGGACTTCAATGCTGAGGCACTGATAGAACGTGCAACAACATATTGACGTTGCGCACCTCTGAAGACCGCCTGCCGCGAAATAGCCGTAACGGCCCGATGAAACGCGGGCATCGCCTCTCAGTCAAATGATCGAGCGAATACAAAGGAGTTGGTTCGAACAATGATATGATATATTTGGCGTGGCTCCTCCTGGAGTTCTAAAGACTCTTCAACCAAATTTCTGCGTCTTTTCTCCTGTGAAGCGGACCGATTGGTAAACCGGAGGTTTGAGCTTATTCGTAAGCCGTATTGCGGAGAACTACTAGTCTCCGATTGGAACGCCACATGCGCCACAGCTCCGCCACATACCATCTTCGCTGGTCGCTGCATTGAAGCAATGATAGATGATGAAGACAACAGCGGTCCACCTGCTTCTTTGGAGGGCTGTATACCGATCGTCCTCGCGACAAGCAATCAAAAAATACACCTTCAAGAGCGAATAAAAGGTAATCATGATACGGAGCGAGTGAAAAGAGACATATATGTATGTGCATCAGTTGCACTATTTACGACGATGCCTGGCGACGCCTATCTATAAACGAGACACCTAGACTTTTCATACATCGCATCGCACCCATTTCATAAGCACAGCACATTTCAAATTGATTATTTTGATTGCATATTGAGCATTAAATATTATGCATAAAGTGTACGAAGGAGATTAAACCCAAATCGACAATGAAGATGAGAACACTCCAGCAAATTTTCCCACATGTAGAGTCTAGGGGTAGGAAAGCAGAGAAGGATGGAAAAAAAGAAAACTGAACATACAGGCGGCAGTGAGGGAAACAGCACATTTAGTAACCATGCCAATTTGGATAAGAAAAGATCCGCCCACGCTTTTATAATTTACAGAACTCAGAAGGCTTGAAATAACCAGAGTGTCCAGGATTGGAAAGGTTGTGTCAGGTACTGGTGTTGCAGACCCAAACAACAACCACCAATCAAGGACCGAGAAAAGGAGAGGCACAGGGCAAATTTTGGATGGAGGAGTCAATCCGAGCGTAGGAGGGATATTTTTTTTCTTGGACAGGGCCGTGCGTGCAACAGGATCGGTCCATTAAATCTCGAGGAAAGGGTCAAGTGAAAAGATAAAAATATTTGTGCAAAGAGAAATTATACATCAACTGAAGGCCATGGGAACCCTAATCTCATTGTTCCCAATTTAGCGTCATCAAGGCATCTCATCGTAATAGTGTATCGTGCAACCGAGATTCTAGAGCGATTGCTGGAAGGTCGCTGGGATATCAAAGGCGAGCTTCAGTAACCAGCAGGACAGGCACGCCCGGGGTGCGAGCAGTCGCTGAACCACGGACACGATAAGAAGGTTGGCTCAAGGTAAAAGCAAAGGCATTTAGTAATTTGACATATGTCCACACACCGCGCATGTGGGCTTCATTGAGTTATGTAACTCGGGTAATAAGGCCGTTTCATACGGTCCGTGTCCGTTCGCTTCTTCATCCGCTCCGCGTCATAATCATCGGCACCGTCTCTGCTACCCCATGTGGTCTGAAAAAATAATAGTTCGGTTAGCCAATCTGAGTCGGATAGCAAGGAGTAGTCATCGTTCAACAAGGCCAGATGTTGCGTGAAAAGGGAAGAATCAGAGGCCAAAAAATAAGACGGAACAAGTAATAGCCACCGTACTAAACTCGGACAGCGAAGCACAGATGATAAGAAGAGGGAATGAGACCAATAATGAGGAAAGAAACCAGGAAAAAGTGACAAGCAACCTAAGAAAAAAGTGGAAGGCCGGAATGCAGAAAGAAATCGGAAGTAGAAATCAAAGCGATGCAGAAGGCAAAATCGGGTTACCAAGATGGGGAAGGCCGTGGGTGGATACAGGGAGGGCGAGGATGAGGTGAGGCCCACGGCCAATGCAATTGCATTATGGGAGGGGTTGGGTGTCGAGCACGGAAGCAGGCCAAGGGCTAGAGCCCACTTCCATGCTACAAGCGTCGCCCAAAGATACTAGGCTGCACTTGCGCATGCACCCTCTGTAGAAACGAAACAACGGAACAGAACGCATGTTGTGTTGGGGTACTGCAACTTACCACATTCAGAGTTAGCACGGCGTATATTTTAATAGCTCCGTGGAAATAGCCGAAGAGGATGGACACCGGCAAAAGGATAACATCAACCGGGTAACGGATGTAATGTCCGAGAAGTTTGATGAACTTGCTAATAAACATCCACAGTCCGAGAGCTTGCATAGCTAACGCGTGCGTATCATTGTCCCAAGAAACCGTAGCCTTGTGACATAGTATAAGGAGCAATAAATCGCCGAGGAAAGCTGGCGGCGAAAGCGTCGTCAAGTGAACAGCGTATGCGCTCCAAGGCTGGCGACTAGTAATACAGTAAACCAAGCGTTAGCGTGCGGATCAGACAGACATTTACAGTAAGCGGCCTAACGAAAAAAAAAAAAAAAAATTTTTTTTCCACAGTCGGATCCCAAGACTAGGAGCGACCCAGCCTTCCAAGGCCGACGGCCAGTTCCTTATGCCTGTAGAAAGATCTGGGAAATGACAATCGGGATGAAGGGAAATACCATCCAACGGCGTCGTTGACCAACGATGTGGGAGGCAAGCAGGGTTTGCGAATGAAAGGCCATTCGATAACAGGAGACAAACACTCATCCCAGTGTGCATTGTACGCACGCTCACCAGACAAGTCAGATAGGGTAGACTTACTACCAGATGTGTTTTTCGTGGAACATGCTTGTGAGGTTGCTCCTCCAGTTGCTTCGGGACCAGCGCGCGCACTGCTTGAGAAACTTGGGGTTGTCTTCCAGAGTTGTCAAGACCTCCGCTTCAGGATGATATTGCATGTAAGTCTCCCAGCCATGCGACACCATCCAACGGGTAATGAAATTGTCGTCGTCTGCGTTCAATTGGTACTTTCCGAACCACCATTCTTCGTTGGTAAATCCATACGTGAATCCCTCATTCTGAAGGATATCTGTTCTGTATGCGACTGTCCGGCCTGACATGCAGGGAAGTCCACCGTCAATATGCGTTGTTGCCGCACAATCGAAGTTTCTTCGTTCCAAGTAAAGTGCACCCAGAAATCCCCATATGCGTTGAGAGAATGATGGCGAAACAGCCCGTCTCAGACGTTGACAAGTTACCACACCACCGAATCGCTCATCCTTTTCGAAAGGGGCTAGCATCCAAGGGAGGACTGTGCGTGGCCAACTCACGTCATCATCTGCGAAGACCGTGATAGTAGTCTTGACTTCAGGGATCGCTTCAGTCATTTGTCGACGCTTGTTGGGGTGAGTAACGGTGAACAAGCGGATTCTTGACTTCGAAGCGGGCATCAAGCTCAGCATGTTCTCGGCTTTTTGTCGATTCGCTTCAATGGTGACCAAAAGGAGTTCGTAGGGCTGGGTGTCGAGAATCGTTCTTATGGTTTCCACGAGTTCATCACCACATCCCTCTAACGTTGGTAAGATAACCGTTACATCTTGGGCAGTTAACTTCGGATTCTCCGGCGGAGGAATTGGTTTGAATGTCCAGAAAGAAAAGAGATTCACAACAAGACGGAAGTAGCGATACAAACTATATATCAGGGAGTCAGCTAGAGAGATTCGATACAATCAGATGTCCAATCACTGGTGATACATCAAAAGTAAGCTTCAGGCCAGTTCAGGTCAATACTAACAAGAGGGCAATAAATGCTCGCATGAACGGAAACTCCATGATTGAAGCAATATGATCAGGCCTAGGATTACACTCCTCAAGCCAATTGATTGCTTCGGTCGCTATAGACTTCACTCCGAATTTCGTCCCCGATCTCTCGCCAATGCTGGATCAAGCTACAGACACCGGGACTGGCACTGCGCACTGTGCTCACAGGGGCGCGTTATCGGGGGATAGAGAAAATGACGAAAATGCTGGGCACCGCTCTGCCAGCATAAAAGTTTTGTTGATAATTGACAAGTTGAGGAGAGGAGAGATAGAGAGAATATGGGTATATGGTCTCCTAGTAGGATGAACAGGATAGGAGGACGGAAGTAGAGGCAGAGAAAGAGAAAAGAAAGGAAGAAAAAAAAAAAGATAGAACAGGATGAACGAATGTCTGGGTATAAAGATAGCCCAAGACCTCGTCAGGAAGTTCTAAGAAACTGAAAGACCAGCTCTGAGGTCAATTGGCTTCACAGAAGATGAGAATGCCTATGGGCGAACATGCAACATTGGGGATTCTTATTTGTTGCAGATGGAGTCGATGGCACGGAATGGCAGGGAAGGCACATGTTCAAGTCCGGCATCCAGACAATGGATTGAGCCAATCCCTAGAGAGAAATATAAATAAGTTACTTGTGGGCTCCAGTTCCTTTGTCATTTTGAGTGTCATGCAGGTGTATTTTTGCCTCGTGCGTCAGAGACCCTGGATCTAGATGGACTGATGGAGGATAATGCGGGTGGAGAAAGGATTGGCGGCGGTCCATGCAGCTACTGTGCAGTCCACTGCAGTGACATGGGCCAGAGAGGGTGGAGACTGCTGATGGTGTGTGGGTGTGTTTTCTAAGGCTAAAGTAGGAGCTAAAAGCACGTTAGTGGGCGTCTCCGAAATTCGCAGTGGTTTAACTGTGTTGGGGCCTTTGGGGGTGTAGTATTCCGTACTAACCGGTCCGTCCTAGTACCTCCTTAGCACTATCTAGTCCACTCGGTTCTGCGCATCCTGCCCGGGACGCTGTAGACTTCCTAAACACGAGAGTCATTATTATGGAGTAGGCCCAGTATCTCCTCGTACTAGCCACCTCTCCCTAAGGTACTTTTACCAGAGCGAAGCTTGAGTAGAGAAATGCCTCCCTCCTTTCCACTCCACCGTCCATGGTCATACACACACACTTTCCTCCCCTGCAACAGGATGATACATTCTCCATCTTTGCTTTCTGGACTTACTTCCCCTCTTTACTTCTTCCTTGATTTCTTTTTTCAATTTTTTTTATCTTGGTTTATTCTATCATTCTGCTTTGTTTCCTTTTCTTTTCTTTTCCGCCTCTTTCCTTCCCCGGTCAAGGTGGACTGAATAGATGGAAAGGGGCAAAGTATACAGAGTCATACGCAAAAAAAAACCCTAAATGGGAATAAACAAAATTCATAATCATTTAAATATCGGATATTGAGAAAAATGACCAAATTGAAAATAGTAAAAATCAGACGGAGAAAAACAAAAAAACAAAAAGGGAAAAAAAAAAGATTGGATAAACCTAACATAAAATCATCGGTGGCTCATTCATCATTCCCGATGGGCAAGTGACGCCGATGAGCCGACAGGCAAAATCACCTAGATAATACTTGGTAAGAGGTGGTGGGGGGGGGGCAGAGTTCGTTTGTCGGCTGGATGATCAACCAACAAGGATAAAAGAAAAAAAAAAAAAAGAGAGAGGAAACGGGGGGAAAAAATCTCACTCGTTTCCGAATTCCATGCGTAATTTAACGTCTATGTGAAGAGAGATAACATGCTCCCCCTATTGAAGCATTACCATTAAATCCGAATTAACATGTCAAGCTTGCTATAATCATGAATTCCCGGGATTTTCAAAGAATCAAAGGAGAGAATGGCCGCTACCGAAAATGAATCAGAGCTGTTCCATACATGACAGTGACGACATAGTAATTTCTTCAAATCATCATTCGAGGAGTCTGATCCTGTAACAACATACAATTTCTAATTCTATCCAGGTGCAGATTGCTGCTGCATACTACCTAGTGGCATTGGTGAGAACTAAAATAGCCAACATAGCAGACCATCGGCCTAGACAAGAAGCTCCGATCGGGAGGAAAACGAATGGGGAAAAAGAAAATAAATGAAATAGTTGTCAGAGAGGACAACAAACCTTTCCAGAGGTCGGAAATTATGTGGAAATAATTGAGGTTACTAGTTTACATATTCCCATCTCACCCTCAGGATTCTTTTCTTATTATGTTGAGGGCATCAAGATAGAGGTTCTCGCAACTAAAGGGGAAAGAAAGGCATTTGTTTTATTCATGGCACATGGCTTCTTGTTTTTTCTTTTTTTGTTAATTTCTTTTTAGCCCGTACCGATCAGCACAGCTCTTTGAGCCTCCCAAGCACATAATAATATTGAAGGTCAGCCGGACAAAGTTATGTTAACTATGGTAGACTAGGCGATGATACTGCGACCATGGAAATGGAAAGGGAGAAAGATAAGCAAAGCACCCATCCAAAGTTCTTCGGGAATTTTGAGATAAAGGTCCCTAGGAAAGAAAATGACCCGAAGACCGAATGACCATTTCTCACCACATTCCAGACGTGAATCTCTTCATCTTCTCGTACTTACTTAGCATCTCTAGATGGTAGTGGTAGCTTTCAGCCATTAAATTACAGGCCAAGCACAGAATCTCGCATTTTGGAATCCCACTTGTTGCAAAAGGCGAACTATCTCAAAGCGAAGAAACGGTAATAGCTATGTAACAAAATACACTGAACGGGACTGCGTGCCTCGCTAAGCAATTCCAGCTACTGCGCACTAGGCTACAATTTTGTCAACAGGTTGTCACACACGCACACCATCCCCCATGCCCCCTCCAATATCGAGGGCAGCTGTCCATCGCGGAGAAAACAGATATTTGCCTAGAAAATCTTAATCCATGGTGAAGTTCTACTTGACATTGAATTCATTCTGGTATACATAGAATAAGTGATACTTGGAAAGGGCGAAAAGCGAAGAACGGGCCCCCCTAAACACCACTGACAGTGTGCTGGGGAACTTTACGCACAATACAGAATCGGTGGTAGCTATGGTCTCATTGGCCTCAAACCAAAAACGTTCAGGTTAACGGTGATCCTAGCGGCGATCTCCCAACCCCGTCTCATTAAAGCCCACTACCTGCACTCGTTGCCTCCCACAACCAGTCGCCCGCTAAATAAGAATGGATCACGAAGCTTGGGTGGGGTTTAACATTAACAAATGCTGCCATAGGCTGGAGGTAATACGAAGTCGAGACCATTCCCCAGACAGTGACACACCACTGTCTCTCAGCTAGTAATGTCATGACCCATAAGCATGGTCGGCTCCGAGAACATGCATTTATCAGCTGAAAGTTAATCCGAGACAGAGGTCTCTGGCCTACCAAATCAGAATATGGCTATCAACTCTGAGCCATGATGATATTTTTGAGTAGCTGGAATTTATCTGTACGCTGTAAGGTATATCATAAAAAGGTTCCCTTGAGTCACAGTCCCGAGCAGTCATGTGCTTCGGAAGATCACATTGACATAGCTATTCACTTTTTCCGGAGCACAGCTCCTGCACATGTGCTCTTGTACAGGAATGCTGGTGTTGCCTCACAATTTTAACTCGCGAAGTTACTGGGGCCGCATATGACCAAAGCGGCATTTTTATGGGCTCTTCGGCCAACCGTCCCTCCCCACCCGGTAGACACGGAGTTCCATATGCAGCTTGTGGCTTGCTTAGTAGATCTCAGATATCTATGGAGGTTATGCGTCTCGCTTGCTAACGATCGACTACTATCTCGCCATCAACCAAATTTGGAGTAATAGCCATGATTGGTGTTCGACTGGTCTTAGCAGCCGTCGTGGGACTATGATTTGGACAGTTATTATGTGAATCCTGCCAGTAGCTCTTCACTTACGTACACTGACACAAGAGTACCCTACTCAGATAGCTTAGGCGTAACCAACAAATACTACTTTAGCAGTAGTACCATGGACGGAACAAGGGCATAGAGAACCAAACCGTGTAGTAGTACTTACTTAGTAGTAGTAAGTTGACTCTCGGGCTTCTCAACCAATCATCTATGGGACCGCTGTAATCTCTTCGAGAGCATGGATAGAGACAATAACTCCACATACACACGATTAGCATCGCTAGTAACAATGAACGTGCGGCCCGAGCTCTATTTCCCAATAAAGACTTGACTCGCATGGTAATATGTCAATGTTATCTTGGCATCGAGGACGCGTGCTGATGGAACCACGGTCAGCCATCATACGGGCTGCTCCTTCGCAGTTATTGGTACAGATAACCCACCAGCCTTAGTGGCTGCAGATGATAATCAACCCTCCTGCAAGTCACCTTAAACGGCTATGTGCCCCAAGGCTAGGCCGGGGCTCCTCCACTCAAGCAGTGCTACACCCTACCGTCCGGACTAGAACGAGGTTCGGGATTCTAAGCTAAATGATCACCTAACTAGCAATAAGCAGCTAGCAGGAAGATGGTGAACACACTCTACATGATGTAGTATGTCAACGTGCATACAATACCATAGTAAAAATCTCACAGATTGTTAGTTCTATTCTCCGTAAAGAGACTCATATTGACCTAAGGACAAGGAGAATATTGATGCAATTGCCTAAGGGGTTCAGATGGGGAGTTTTCCCCTTACTAGTTTGGGAAGGTGAGGTTCTATTGTTCCAATATACTGACATAAATTGATGCGCGGTTTACATGTGGTATCTTTACAAGGGTTCATATTAAGCACTATCGGTCCCCATGCTTCATATGGAACTGCTCCGTCTCGATCCGTTCACCATAAGCTAGTAGACTAGACTATAAACAAGGCGACGTTGCATTGCTTTGACAATTTCCTAATTGTATACCGTCTTCCTCCGCGGCCCTAGTACCAAGTTCGTATAGTATATTTCTAGACCTCTCTGCAGAGTATGAAGGGCGTTCTTCAATGTGTACATTCGCGTGGTTACTGCTGTCAGGATATGATTTAGCTCCTCGAAAAAGCAGCCACACACATGCATAACAATCTTCTAGGTAACTGAAACAGACGCGTACCTATCTCGGCTGCACGGACATTACTTGCCTCCGCCGAGCTCCCCACCCTCACCCGGGAATGACCGAGGATCCATTCAAACGCGTTCGGAGCAGAACTGCTACTGTGTATTTAAGTGCTAAGATAGTCCGGGATTTTAGCGCAGGCTGTCTTGTCTGTCTTTATAGGATTTTCTATCCCTTTTTCTTTTTTTTTTTTCTTTTTTTTTTTTTTTTTTTCCTTGTTTTGCGTGCCCCATACCAAGATAATACTGACCTGAAAGGAGTAAATCTAATAGTAACTTATGTCTTTGTGTAATTTGTTGGCGGTTTCATGAGAGAGCAGGCGTATACTTATTCCGCCGGTCGGCCAAATATCCCCTGCGGCCTCCCACTAATTGAGGGAATGAGGAAAGTTTGCAAGTGTCAACAGAAAGCCACAGGATAGCCCGGAAGAATATCACACCATTACTTTGACCTACCAGTAAAGCCCCACAATCTAAACGAGTTAGTACTAGGTGCCACTGCATAGTAAAGTGCGCGTATTGGCCGTTCCCATAATCTCCGGGCTGAATTCTACGACTTCATGCGTAGCTTCAAAAGAAGATATTACCGATCACTCTTGAACAGGATAGGGGGGTGTGGGTGTGGGTGAGCAACAATAATAGCGAATACCTGTAATTCTTCCCGTGTACAGCGAGGAGCTAGGTGCTCCACGATTTCGACGCACTGTTCAGCCGACGCTCCATATCGAAGTCTGGAACCGTCGACGGCAAGATTATCCATTGATATCAACCTAGTAAGTAAACTTATTACCTCTTACCGTAAGACTAGTAGGGCATAATCCCGTTTCCATCAGAGACGCGGAAATGTCATGCAGCTCATGCCGTCAATCGGAATGTCAGCCGTGTGTGTAACTCAATCATATACTTATTACCATGCTACTCTTAAGTCAATATAATGGCCCAAACCTCCAAAGGGCTTGCTCCCTTTTTTTTTAATCTGACAATGTAATGTGACGAGAATAACCCAAGCACTGAGCGAGCATTACCGTACTTTCTGCACAAGTTTGAATACAAAGGCAACAGGGAAATCAAGGGAGGGGGGGTGGTTCGGGCTGGGTCTAGTCAGTCTACTAGTCATCAATACTACCTACCTACTATGTATGGACTTGTAGTAGTAATTATTACTACTTAACAAGACGCAAGTTGGCATGAAGACCGAGGAGGCAGAGTCTCCACTCCGAGCTCCTTAGGCTGACTCTCATAGAGAATTAGCCGCAGGAGGTAGCGGACTGTGCACAAGTTAGCGCGGGCTGTTTCCTCTTGTACTGGTGGGAACTGTTCCATACCGTCCGTAGACTGGGGCGCCTCGGCATGGGGGCAAATCTCCGCTACAGCGTTGTGGTTCGCTTACCCGGACAGCAGGCAACTTACTTACCTTGCTAAGGAGCTGTGCCGCTCCCGCTAGTTAGTTCTACTAGTCGTAGTCTACGTGTTTGGCGGCGACGGGCGACACACTGGGCTGAGACTGTCCTGTGCTTCCCAAGACACAGCCCGCCCGCGCTTTTCACCATTTGTAAACACTGCGCCCCCCCCCACCACCACTCCCAGTCAGGATGAATTGATTTCCGTCCTAAGGGATCAGACGACGCAGGAGACTCCGACTATCTAAAGATAGCAAGCTATTAAGGAGAGAGGTAGTGACAGTTGTAGTAGTTGAAGTAGCAAGGGGATTAGGAAAGTGCGGAATTCGTCTATTGTAATGTGTAGATAACTATTTATCATTGTTATCATTTTTCCCGCCCGTGCCCTCCCCGGACCTCACGGCAGAACCCTCATTTCGCCCCCCTCTTCCACAAACTTACTAGGGTGATATTGTTATTGTCTGGTAGACTACTCATGCTAGTACGGAGTACTCCAAGCTCCTCTAGTTTAGTCGCATCTTACGGCAGGACGGACTGCCTAGGTAGGTAGGAGTGGCGGATATTTGTGGAACGCTGCCGTGCTATCATAGGCTGAACGCGGGAGTCGACGACCTCGCTCTTGGTGGCCCGTGTGAGGTTCGGCTGCGGGCCTGAAGCTCGGCCAGGCCATCCTGCTTACCCACGGAAAAGGCGTTAGCAACGTTGACTACTGCACCACTTCTGCAGCTAATCGAGTCAATCCAGCAGCTAAAACTAGGCATGAGCTAGATTTCCACTGGACTAGCCTCGTTTAAGTGACTTCTATGCCGGTTGTGCGAATACTACTACCCGAATAGTCACTCGGGCTTGTTTGGCTTGATCAAACCTCCAGGAGAATCAAAAGCAAATGCTCTGCGTGGCTTTCACGGGGTGCAGAACGGAGTTTCCGGAAGGAGTCCGAAACTCATGAAGGTATGAAGCGAGTATTGTTGTTGTTCTTATTATTATTATTGTCATTATTATTATTGCAGTCTTTATTATAATGATTATTATTTTGCCTATGGTTACTGCCACTAGATAGGTTGAGTATCACGACCCGCCGATGCTTCTCCTGCACAGCCGTTGGGGCCAATTCGGCGCAGCAATATCAACAATTGAACTATCCTTGGACTGAGTCTGTGGCTGGCTCTGTGCTGCAAGCCAGCTTCTGGTCTCAATGACATGCAAGCACCCCTATGCAGAAATCTCCTACAACATTTGTGAGATCTTTGATAACGCCATGAGCTGCAGCAATGCCTCTATACTACCCATAGAATTAGAAAAGTGTTCTGGATGGGGTTGGTCAGTCCACTGGATGGGGACTGTGCTACGCGAATTATTATCAGCTTCCTGTGCTACGTGACTTTGTCTAATGACACAGACTGACCGTTTCTCCAACACACACTTCTCTCCCTCCCCGACAACATATGATAACAAACACTCATCGACCTCCGAAACGGGCGGTCTTTTCCTATGGCACTTAAGGGACTAGCATATGCATCATGAGGTCAGGGAGTTACAATGCCTTGCACATTATTCTCTAATGCAGTCAAGGTTCCGAACAAACATCTTCACCCCTGCTCTATCCTAGGTAGTTCGGAAATCCAGTACCCGCTAGTTACTTGCATATAGTGGCACTGATTTTCAAATTTATGATGTCAACTTCCCTCCCCTCCGTCCCTCCAGCTCAAGCAAGGCAAGCCCCCTCAGCGATCAATCGGATGACTTTGAGGCTCCCTTGTTCTGGACCAGGCCTATTGGTAACATAAGCATCCCCAGGCAATGACGGGGATGCAGACCATGCTTCCCCCCGATACACTAATGTGTGCGTATCAACAGGGTACACCCTCTCTTCCCCAAGCCATTTCTGCATGTGTCTTTCTAGAACATCTCCACGGCACCAACGGTGTTCTGTCATGCGTGTAGTCTAGTAGCTTGTATTACAACCGGCAAGGATGTATATGGCGATCTTTTTCCATTCATAAAACGCCTTTGTCTGGGTAATACGCTTCTATATCATCATTCGTCTTCTGTGCCTAACTATGTCACAGCTATTAGTTTCCTGTCTATAACTCTGATAGACTGCTAGCTAAGGTGACCAGGCAAATTAGAATGATCGAAACACATTGCCGTATTACGCGTTTTTTTCTACTGTGTCAAACGGCCTTGAAGGAAACAACTCTTCGCTTACTCTTCCAGGGTGTAATTAGCTAACATACCGTGAACGTTCACTAAGACAGAGTTACATGCATTGGCTTGCGTTTACCGGAGCAATGTAAGGCACAGAATGGCGACAATTAGATATCCTCTCCAGGAGCCCATAACCAATCTGCAGGATTGAATAAAACCTCGAAATCCACGCCTCCGAATAGTCCGAGGGCGCCATACAGATCGAAATCTCCTCCTAGACCCTCTACCCCTCCAGAATCCTCATCCAACTCCTCGTAAAGGTTCCAGCCCCCGACTTTCTGACCGTCACGGGTAAAAAAGATATCGACATCAACCTTCGTGTCTGCACCCACCGAAACCGAGGTGGCCATGGTGGGGAAGTGAAATGTCATCCCCAAACCAACTGTCTCTCCTACATTGAACTTGCTCGTGAACCCCTTCCCACCCCACGAGTCATTCACAAAGCGACAACCATCATCAGAGAAGACTCCGAGGCTACCCCTTTCCCATCCTGGACATCTCCAGTTGGGATATGGTTGTGCCACAAACCCAATAGAGAACCCGCTGGCCTCGGCAGACTGTCCTTGCGGACCTACGCGGAGGCCAAGCAGTCTTACTTCAAAGTAAATAGTTTTACTTGTTTTGGTAAGCAATGGAGAATCCTTGAGGGAGAAGTAGAGGGGCAAATCTGTAGTTAGAAGACAGTCGACATTCCCATCTCTTGTGGACCCTTTCCAGTGCCCCTTGTTGACAACGGATAGCTTCCCACCAAACCTTGGTGACTCTGCAGGGTTCAGATCGTATTCCTGAGCAGATTTGTACAGAGCATCAGATGGCTTGACGGGAATATTCAGGGGAAGCTTATCACAAAAAGCGTGGGCACGCTCTGCATCGTCGCAGGAGGCATTTCCTGTACTTGAGGAGAAAAACCCAGCGATCGGTGGCGGTGGAAGCGTTGCTGTATCGGGCACAGTCTCCTGCCAGTTGTGATAAAGGAGGGGCCCTTGACTTCCGGTTCCAGTAGTTGCAGAAGCAGAATATGGCGGAGGTGAGGCAATAGGCATCGTATACTCAGATTGTGCTTTTTGAGACGTGGCTTTAGAGTGGTCCGCCATTTGCAGCTTAAAAAAAAAAAACAATTAGACCAATATAGACAGGAAGAAGTGCCCTTAATGATCGCGTTTGAGACTCATATATATTAATCCTGTTGAACTTATATCGTATGTTGGAGTGACAGCTGTTGATATAGGATAGCAGGCTAATGTAGGGATGCTCTATTGGGGCGGGTGTCGCGCGGGTGGCTATGCTGAACCATGAGCTCACACTTTGCTGATTTCTGGTCAGAAAGCAAAATTAAGCCAAAGGAGCAGAATGGATGCACCGGAGTTAGTGCTCACAAAGAGCAGATAAGCATTGGTATCTTTTCGCTTAAGCATGGAACATAATTACACTGTCCTTTCTAATATATGTTTATATATATATATAATTACTGCAAGCATATATAGTTGGACATACAAACATTTCTGCTTAGGTGGTTGTTGGACCCTTCCCGTTACTAAATTTAAATAACCCCGTGGAGCCAGCCACATTGGGACTGCGGGGAGGGATTTGTTGTGGATGAAGGGAGACAGACGCACACTATGTTGGGATCGATATGGAAGAAAAAGCGGTATGAGTAGGCAAAGTGAGGAGGAAATCGGTCTTGGGTTTTTATGATTGATAACTAATTAGGGATTGTTGTTTCAGATGCAACCTTTTATGTATAGTCCAGAAGAGGCATAGGCTCGACAATGCCTGCCCTACCCCCCACCGTGCCTGACTACAGCAACCAGCTGAGGTTTCAGTAGACCCAGTAGTAAGCTCGTTTAATTTCTGTTTGCCTTGCGCCTAAGTGCTCTTGCTTACTGCCCGCCCAGTGTCCAGTTGAATGTGCGACCGTGACCCTTCACTTGGTTTGGGTTATGACTGCTTGATCGATGGCCCCTTGCCGACTTACCTGTTTGCTTGGCCTGCGCAATGATCTTCTTTCAAGTTCATGCACATGCTCATCTCTTTGATTCTTGACTTAGTACCTGGTAGAGCTGCTTAGATGCATAAAGATGTGCTCTAGAGTGCTCGAGCGGTCCTGAATCTCATCCGACCATATTGCTGGCTACCAATTAGTCACTGTTGTTACACAACACATACTCTCACTATATACATGCGCTCGAAGCTGCAGTCATCCTTTTTCAATCGAGGACAATCCTAGTCTCCCATCAACTATTTCTCGAGTCACAGTCGGCCACTGGTGATGATAAATCTTCACGGGCAATGAGCATTGGCATGAATCTCCCCGCGAGAGACACTATATTGCGGCCGAGATGGACAGCAGTGAAAAAGGACATACCAAAAGACAGCGCAGGTCTTCTCTCTCACAGCAGCTACAACGGGTCTTCCATTTGGATAAACATGTGAATGTAAGGGTTTTTCTTTTTTCTCTCTTTCTTTCTCTCTCTCTTTTTTTCTTTTTTCTTTTTCTTTTCTTTTTTTTTTTTAGGGTCATCGTCCCAGCGAGTTGCCAATACACCAGTTTCCTCCTACCTACCTTAACTCTCTGCCTTGTCGGGACAAGATGTGCCTCATGTTAATACCTCAAAGAAGGAAAGGCGCAGGCGATCGTCGGATGCGATAGAGGCTCAAACCATAAGGACCCCCGGGCAAGAGCGAGAGGGGACACAGCAGACAGACCAGGTTGGCCTAGGCGGCAGTACAAGTCGATCCGCATCATTCATAAGAACAAATGAAGATGTCGGTTCACGTATAGCCCAAGGTCCAACCTTTCCGGGTTTGGTTGACAATGAGCTCGTGAAGTCATCAGCACACACTATCAGCCAGGGAACATTGCAACTGTCCGACTCATCCTCCCTCATGGATATGTCTTCTGGCAAGCACGGGTCATTCAGCCCCGCTACTTCGATCAACAAGGCGACGGACAGGAATGAAAGAAGGGCTACAAGGCGCCTAGAAGCAGAAAGGTTGGAGCTTGAGAAGAGGTTTCTTAACCTCGAAAAGAGCGAGCAACGCCATGGGATAAGCCAACAGCAGAAAGAGTCCCGGCGCCTTACCAAAAAACAACCTATAAGAAGCTCAAGTAGGGCATCGAGTGTGAGTGAAGATGAGTCTCGCCCATCACGCCGATTCTCTTCTCTCTTCTCAAGTTCGAGGCGAGGTTCCCGGTCACGTTCAAATTCCCTAAGCAGAAGTGACGGAGATTATCCAACTAAACTACCAGCTGACGCCGAAAAATCACACTCTGGACTGCACTCGGGACCGCACGCAGCTCGATCTCACATTGCCGTGAAGATGCCTAATCGCTTCGGCGCCGTGATATCTAAAGAGCTCTCCATCAACAACGCGCTGGCCCCATACCAACCTGAGCCTGCGCCCATGCGGGAGCTAATGCCGGCGAATCCTACCAGTACAGAATCTAAGGCAAATGATTCTACCGGGCCTGATCCTCGCAGTATCGAACACAATTTGTCGCACGAACAAAGCCCTGTACAAGACCACCTCGTTACCATCGACAGTAACGCGCCAAGGGTAGCATCGAAAGCCCCTAGTCTTCCTGTCCCTACAGACCTGGACCGCTTGTCCTTCGCAGCAACCCTCAACCTTAAAAGTAGGGAGTCTGGCAACGTGAGGTTATCTGGACATCGTCGGTCATCGACGGTGTCTTCCCCGGAACTGCTGAATAAACGGGAAAAGCATGCTCGCGGTAGCTACAAAAGCACTCGCATAGCTCAGGTGGCAGCTGATGGTGGAAAAACTTCAAGTTCACTAGGACTGTCATCGACTAACTTACAAGCCAATTCGTTGAGGGCTGCACCGAACAGAACTTCCACGGACCGTTATTTTCAGAGACCGTATAAGAGCTACATTTCATCACCCCTTACAGTGGCCTCAACTGTGGACAGCAGATCCAAGCTGTCTTCAAATGCTAAGGAGACTTCAAACACAACAACTTTGCAAGCTCCTATCGAAGATAAATCAAACCCCATGGATTCTATCAAGGCTATAGATCCCAAGTATAAGCGGACACATCCAGATGTTACAAGGCGTCTATCCGGGAGATACGAGGATAAAGGCGAAGGAGACCTTGCACAGCCTCACAGTATCGTTGGGAACCCGCAGGAGCGCTCTGTTGTTGGCTACACGTGGGCTAGTCACCATCTCCAAACACCTTTGAGCAAGTGCATTCTTACAAACCAAGATGAAGCTCATGCAGTGACATGCCGAGAGCCTGGAGTCGAGAAGTCGGATTCTCGGACTCACAACACAAATGGCAGCCTAACTGATTTAATCGTCTACCAGGCGAAGCATGCAGGTCGGGACGGACACCTAGAATCTCAAGGTACTCCACCGCGTTATAGAACTCAAGCTTGTCAAAACCTAGCCCAGAGCTTTCAGGGTGCTCCTAGGATGCAGAGACCTGAAGCCTGTCATATGCCTTATGAGAGCAAGCTTACACAACGGAGAGGTTCAATTTCGTCAATATCCGCATCCTCTGAAGAGCCACGATCAGAAGATTACAACACTGCGGACGAAGCCTGCTCATCTGTTTCGCTTCCTCGACAGGATGGCATTGCCCCAGCCAGCTTTCCTCACACTGATGACACTGTACCAAGTACATTGGACAATAATGACAACGATGTGTCGCTCAGTGTGGGAGCTTCAACCTCCGATTTATGCAACATGCCGGAAGGGCGAATGAACGGACGCATTGAGCAATTGAAAAATGTACAGACAGTCGGCCCGTTTAAAATGCTCTTTGTCATCTGCTGTCACTGCGGCCATTGGCACGATCTGCCATCGAAAATGCATGCGAAATTCACTTCGCCGAGCACATCTTCAGTCGCCAAAGAGCATAAGCTCTCCACTGACAAGGGTGAACCACGTGCTGGCCAAGAATGTATTGATTCAAAAATACGCAAAAATAGTTTTTCAGGACAGTGTGCCGATTCATCAAGTACCAAGTCTCCTGCCTCTGCCGCAAGGTCTCAATCTCCGACTACGGTGCAGTGCTGCTGGTGTAATCATCGCATGGATAGGTCATGTTGCCAGGGATGGACAACCATGATTCGCATGTGTGAAAGGCATCACTAGCAGTGTGCCAGAGAAATTGTCGTCTGTATGGTGACCGGGAGTGATTGTGAATTCTACTGTGGAAGTGGCCATTGGGGTGGAAACATGCATTGCAGTTATGGTTGGCTTATTAGAACGCACTCCAGCTTTGCTGGGGGATATATTCTTGGATTCCGGACGAGGAAATGGTGAACCATATTTGTAAATAAAAGACTGAAAATGAAGAATGAAAAGGACAAAACTCGCCGCTGAGGACCTCGGAGATATCGACATCCATAACTAGTATAATTTGTAGTCAATGGTTGCATAGATAAAGATAGAGCAGCTTGATAAGTGGATTAGTGGATAAGCCAGGGGCGTGGCAGGTGCCGGAATGCCGATAGTAGTTCTACCACTACTACTAGTACTTTTTACCCCGAGCCCGCATGAACGGCGAATCGTGGGCAAGTCCTTTCTACCAAGGTACCACCCGCCGTAGTACCTAGACTCTTCGCCGCCCTCCTTCTTTTACCCCTTTACCATTCAGCGGGCCATTAGATGGCTTGTTTCTGGCGCCATGGTGCGTCAAAGGAACCTCTCAAATGCTTCGTCGACTGCTTCTCTCCCCGAAAGTAATCAGGTATGTATGGCGGCGCTATCCCATCGTGTTGATCTTTCTCCGCCATCAGTGCGCCCGCTTCCATCATAAGGCCCCTTTCAATTAGCGGCATCTAATACCATGTAGGAGCTCGAGAGCATGTATGACTATCTGGCCAAGGTCATTCTTCTAGGGCCGAGCGGGGCGGGAAAGTAAGTCCTGATACTGAAGATAATGATCCGTGGCACCTCCTCAGGCTTCGTCGGTCACTGATATCTTCGCTATTGCAGGTCTTGCGTGTTACACCGATTTGTGAAGAGCGAATGTACGGTACCCTATCTCGGATTGGAACTCCATCACCCCCATCTACAAACCTATGCCAACCCTCCCGGTTTCCCACGCTCATTCCGGAGTTGGACGCGTTCGCTAATATGCCTTTCTACCTTAGGGCGAGTGCTGTCATCTCAAACGATTGGGGTTGAATTCTCCTCGAAGATCGTCAAATTAGGCACCGGGCCGCGACGAACACGGATCAAATTGCAGCTGTGGGATACCGCTGGAACGGAGAGGTTTCGATCTGTCTCCAGGTCGTATTACCGAGGAGCTGCAGGGGCCATTCTCATCTATGATATAACATCTCACGCGTCATTTGTCTCTCTTCCCACGTTCCTCATGGATGCACGTGCACTTGCTTCCCCCAATCTGAGCGTCCTACTAGCCGGTAATAAGTCAGACCTTGCCTCCGACTCCGTACCACCTTGCGATTCCCTTGACGACAATGCACGCCCACCTCCCACACCGTCTAGTACATCCAGCAAGGTGTCTTTCCCATTTGGATCAAGCGGCGGCTCCGTTCGCTCAAACTATGATACCACAACGAGAATGACGGCCACGCATGCACCTCACGGTCGTGAGGTCAGTACCGAAGAGACTTCGCACTGGGCGGCTAAGTCCAACATTCCTGTTGCAGTCGAGATCTCAGCTCTCACGGGTGAGGGCGTAGAAGAGCTCTTCAACCGGCTGGCCCGGATAATTCTCACAAAGATCGAGTTGGGCGAGATTGACCCGGACGACCCCCACAGCGGGATTCAATACGGTGACGGGGCTCTCTATGGCCATGGCACGAGCGATGGTTCCAGCATTCGAAGTCGCATGTCGCTCGACGACGGTGCTGTCCAATTACATCACAGACACTCAAGAAAGAATACTACTAACAATTGGAAGACTGGCATGAGGGAATGGGAAGATGTATTTCGCTTGAGCGATTCGCACCACAGGAGAGGTCGCGGCTGCTGCTAGTATTCTTTGGCCCGAGTTACCACTAATCAACAGCTTTGTTATTCGCGGTTTTCCTTTCATATGTTTTCCGGTGATTATACCCGACACTGGTCTCAACCTGCCACGATATACTGAGCTCACCGCATCTTGACTTTGCTTACAGAACGGCTGATCGGTTGTCCAAATTATGTCGTGGAAGAGCACTGCGTCATTTCGGCCGAAAGCTTACTTTGTTGACCTCTCATTATTTGTGAGGTGACTGAAGGCCAGTAGGCTTGGTTCGTGCAGCATGATACCCCCTATAGTCAAGCACTGTGACTACCATGTTCAATAAACGAGTTATTTGAGTTTGAATATGCATTCCAGAAGTTGATTGTTATCAACTGTTATTGCGGTGTGTTATCCAGCCAGCTATCCTCAAGAGCTTTGTTACGACTACTTCGGACGCACAGGCTTGTGATGGCCAAGTCATATCCAGCACAAACTGAAGCGGGGATATAGTTTCTCAAGATCACGAGAGATATGTTAAATGATCATATTTTCTGGACCGAACCAATTGCCTAAAGATGCCTCGCAGTTGACATCCTGTGATCCAAAAGGCCTCAAACCTGGAAGCCATCTGATAGGGAAGTAGAAAGCGTGAGGAATAACTGACGTCCAAAGCAACTGGTTGCAGTCTGCTATGTTGCTAATGTCTGACGAATTTTATGAATCGACACCACCAATAAGCGTTTTGATGCCCTTTCCAGCTTTAACCTCTTCGAATGCTCGCTCGGCATCCTCGAACTTGACAACACCCGTGATCAGTTCCTTCACGTTCACCTTTCCACTACCTACTAAGGAGACTGCAAGCTTGTAGTCACCACTCCCATAACGGAAGCTGCCCTTGACGTTCAGTTCTTTGGTGCAAGCCGCCATTATTGGGAAGGTAATTTCGCTTCTGCCCATACCGCCCTGGACATATGTTCCCCCAGCACGCAGAACGTGAATGCCTGTATGAACCGAGGGCTCCGCTCCTGAAGCGTCAATGGCAACATCTGCACCCGAGCCTAGATCATTTTCGGCTATTAACCGTTGAGCGTTCTCCAACGCCGCGGCTTTAGCTGGCTCAAACGTGGCCGTTGCTGCGTACTTCTTGGCAAAATCTAGCCTACCCTTCTGAATATCAACCGCGATAACCTTGGACGCACCGTAAGCCTTCGCCACAGCACAGCAGAGAAGTCCAACCGGGCCAGCACCGAAGACTACCACTGATTGACCCGGGTTTATCCCAGCCTGTTTGACGATATGGACGGCAACACTAAGGGGCTCCATAAGTGCACCCTCCTGTAGGGTGATGCTTTCAGGAAGCTTATAGCAAAAGTCTTCGGGCAGGACGTAATACTTGGCCAGGGTACCGTCGTATGGAGGTGTCGCTGCGAAAGCCATTTTCACACAGAGATTATATTTTCCCGCCTTGCATGGTTCGCAGCGGCGACATGGGATTCCTGGCTCCATCGCAACGCAGTCTCCTACCTTTAGACTGGTAACGGCAGAGCCAACCTTGCTGACAACACCGGAAGATTCGTGTCCCAGGACCATAGGATCCTTGACAACAAATTGGCCAATGGAGCCATGTTCCCAATAATGAACCTTGAGGATGAAAATATCCGACATGTCAGCTAGGCAGGCCTTCAATTCTTTTGGTGATACGCACATCACTACCACATATACCAGTGAACCTGACGTTCACCAGTACGTCGTGAGGATCTTTTATCTCTGGGATTGGCCGGTCTTCGAACTTGACGCGGTGTATTCCCTCAAGAACGAAGGAAAGATTCTGGTAGTGATTGAGGTCATTAGCGATCATTCAAATTGTGCCACTTTGAGTTCATGGTGGGTGTGATGAGCCACCATTGACCCTATAAAATGACTGTTTAATGCACTTACCTGAGCGCTGGTATTCTGGGTACTCATGATGGGCGAAAAGAAAGAGGCACACGGGAGAAAGCCAGCTGACTCGAGATGTTGTAGGAGGTAAGGCTCTTGAGCTGGAGTATGGCTAGAAAAACGAATATCGTCACTGAACTTTCAGCTTTCGAAATTTACGCTTTCTTTCCTTATTTATCCTTTTTCCCTCGGTCTTTTCTTAGTTTGCGGATATGTCGCCCTAGGGATTTTGTTGCTTCTGGATCCATCTTGGGTAGCTTGGTAGGAGGTATCGACGTAAGTACTAAGGTATGGGGTAGAGAGGGCGGGGTGGAAAGCCCTTCATTGGTCCAGAATTAACCGGCGCAGCGCCAAATTTACCCGGAGAAGGCAGCTGACCGGCTATATTGATTAGTAAGTATTTCAGGTGGTATAACGTTAGTTAATACTAAAAAGTAGTTAGTTTACCTAGCCAAATATACTCTTCAATGCTCGGGTGTAGAATAATTGGCAAACTAATTTCTACCACGGGCTGGTCAATGGACTGGTTTACTCGGTCCATAATCATCCAATGACTGAGGGAAATGCGCTACTCAGTACACTCCAATAATTATGGTTGGCACAATCTAACGGGCTGACGTGCAGTAGATTGACTTACAACTAGTACGAAGTAGTACCGGGCATTCAAATGAAGGACTGCGTGTAGGTAGTCCTATTGGTATGTAATGAAGCGAGTATGGCCTATTCCGACTATATTGCAACTCAATACATTATTCGGGTAGCTTAATAAAAGAATGCCTTGCATACGGGGTAGTAGAGAGTGCCTTGGCTGGTAAACTATCTGATTAGGAACTACTTTTTTAGCATTTTGTAGATGAGCTACCGCAGCGCAGCCTTACCGCATTAAGCTTAGTCCAACTTAGCTAGCAATCATTCCAATCCACCATCTGTTCTACCATCCATCCATCAATCCGGATACTCATGTTCCTCCGTCTCCCAGTACCGTCGGCCAGCCTCTCCCTCAGTTCTCATAGTTTGCGCCTGGCTTGATTGCGGATCCATCTGTTTACCACGCGATGGTTTCACCTTAGAAGATTACTGTCTTAACAAGGGTCCCTCTTCCATGCTATCTGTCGCCGGTTACCCCATCATGATTAGAGCCGATTCTTACCTTCGTTCGCGGGGCGCCATGCGCGTTCTTCTCCCAAGGGCCGGGTGCTACTTCAGCCATCCGCTATGCTTAGGATCTCAGAGGAGAGGCTTGCAATGGTCCGTTCCCCATCGCGCCGATGAGAAACCTCAGTCTTTCAAGCATCAATTATACGAAAGTACACAGCAACGCCTCAAACGTGAGCGTGCTGAACAGGAACGATATTCACAGTTCCAGTCCCAATCCCAGGGCAGTCGCAACGCGGCGTTGATGTTCGGTATGTCTAATGCCCGAGGCCCGCTCCATAAACATCTCTGGAGCTCTCCAGACCTTGATTGCTGATGTCATTGTGCTAGCATTGGCCTTCTTCTGCACTGGGGCTTACTATCTGGGCTCTTTGAAACCTGCTGAGCTTCCCACTTCGTCAACAAGCCCCGTTTATGATATACAGTCACCGCGACATAACGTTTCTCCCTCAAATTTACAGGCTGCTTGGGCGGACTTCGTTGAAATTTTAGGGAAAGACAATGTTTCCACACAAAACGCCGACTTGGATATGCATGCGGGTTCCGACTGGTCTTCCTACGCCCTGAAAGAGGGAGAAAGACCGTTCCTCATCCTCTACCCATCTACTACGGAGGAGGTATCTCGGATCATGAAGGTTTGCCATCAACGGTTAATTCCAGTAACCCCCTACTCAGGCGGTACCAGCTTGGAGGGCCATTTTGCGCCCACGCGGGGTGGTGTATGCATTGATTTCCGTCGTATGGATCGTATTCTGGGTCTCCATAAGCAGGATCTAGACGTCGTGGTCCAGCCTGCCGTTGGCTGGGAGGAGCTGAATGAACATATCGCTCAGGATGGTCTTTTCTTTCCCCCGGATCCGGGCCCTGGTGCTATGATCGGTGGCATGATTGGCACGGGCTGTTCGGGAACCAATGCCTACAGGTATGGCACTATGCGTGATTGGGTGCTTTCTTTGACGGTAGTGCTTGCCGACGGGACCATCATTAAAACCAGGCAACGTCCACGGAAGTCGAGCGCTGGTTACGATCTTACAAGACTCTTTATTGGAAGTGAAGGCACCCTCGGTCTGGTGACCGAGGCTACGTTGAAGCTGACGGTCAAACCTAAGAGCCAAAATGTCGCAGTCGCGAGTTTCTCGACAATACAGAATGCAGCAGAGTGCGTGACTCGCGTGGTGGAAGAAGGCATCCCAGTAGCTGGGGTCGAGATCTTGGATGACGTGCAGATGAAGTGCATCAACGAAAGTCAGTCCACCAGCCGACACTGGAAGGAAGCGCCTACCATATTTTTCAAGTTTGCGGGTACGCCTGTTGGCGTCAAGGAGCAAATAAACATGGTGCAGAAGATTGTTTCTTCTACTGCGGGTCGGTCCTTCGAGTTTGCCCGAGGTGAGAGCGAAATGCAAGAACTCTGGAGCGCCCGGAAACAAGCACTTTGGAGCGTTATGTCTATGAGGCGAGGTCCTGAAGACCACGTTTGGACGACTGATGTAGCTGTCCCTATAAGCAAATTACCCGAAATCATCGAGGCCACCAAACAAGACATGACTGAAAGTGGGTTGTTGGCGGGAATGTGCGGTCATGTCGGAGATGGCAATTTTCATGGTATGGATACCTCCCTTTCAATACCCCCATGCCAATTGGAATGAGCTCTAACGCGCGGCAGCGATAATCCTCTTCAATAAAGACGAGAAAGCAACAGCCGAGGCTGTGGTTCATCGGATGGTAAAGCGGGCTGTTGAACTAGAAGGTACAGTTACTGGCGAGCACGGAGTTGGTCTCGTCAAGCGGGATTACCTGCAACATGAACTAGGGGAGTCTACAGTGGATGCTATGCGCCGGGTGAGTAGCCATACATCCATGTTCCGCCATAACACATGAAACTCGTACTAATGCAGGGTTCTACGCCCCGTAGCTCAAATTAGCTTACGACCCCCTTTGCTTGCTCAACTGCGATAAAGTTGTGCGGGTTGAGCCACCGGCGCCAGGTGAAGTTAAGGAATGGTAAGCACCCAAGTCAATCTCCTGATAAGCCAATATCTACTTGGTTTCAGACAGATACGCATATAGCATGGTAGTGGACAAATAAACATCCCATCTTGGCCTCAGTACTATCGTCTATTGTCTTCTGCCACCTTCGCTAAGAAAAGAGAGCGCGCGTGCGAAAGAGAAAGAGAGGGATTGAGGGAGGGTTGCTTTCTGGCCTAAATATACTCATATGGATATCGGTCCTCCATGTAGCCTGCTTTTGTACCTTTGCGATGGTCAGTATAGGTACTCGCTTGTCACGTTGCTTTATTGTTGCCCCCTCGTCAGAGTATAATACGCGCGATACAAATCCGATTGTTGCAACGCGACCCGTTCATAGGTTACTTATAGGATGTATCTTTCCCTTGAGTGTCAGGTTAGTGCAACCAAGTAGTAGATACTGCCTCGTCTCCAGGCGTACAAGACAGTACTAGTACTTCGAAGCCCTATGCTGAAGGAAAGGGAAAGTGCAAGTGTAGATCGTTGGTCTGTCCCGGTCGGGAACCTGACGAGTCGGTCTAGACGTAATCAGCACTACATAGTCAGTATACCTACATGATCAGGTAACTAACTACTAGTTAGTTATAACTCTCATCTCTATACATCGTATTCCCTTCTAGACAGTTACCTAACTGCTCTGAGCTCATCTCATCATTATCATCACTAATAACCTAGCTAACTTAATTATTATGATCATCTCATGATTAGCTAACTATCCGAGGACGTGCAAAATTCAAATATCAGCCCGTCGTTCGGAAGAGCCGGCTAGTCGAGTTGTAGAAACGCCTCCGCAATCCGCATGCGTCGCGCCGACTTCACCGCCGCCTTCCCAGATTTAGAATTCCCTCCACTATTTACCTCACTACTACCACTACTACTGCGAACTACCACCATCACGTCTCCTAGCCTCTTCCTTCTTCCTTCCTCCTCCTCCTCCTCCTCCTCCCTCGCCCATCTCTCTCTCTTTCTCTCTCTCTTTCCCCGCTTCCCTCCCCCCTCAATATCTCCTACTTTTCTTCATCTTACCCTTCAAACATACAACCCCTCCAACCCCCGGGTACTTGTTGCAGTTCCTTTATCTCCTCTTACTCCCTTGCCTTTTTCGACGGAGATGCCTGATATCGACACCGATCACCATTGCTTTGCCTCTTAAAGACTTGCTTCGCCGGCTCATCTATTATCGTACTGGTCTCGTCTTACCCTCACGCTCTCTTGGAGTTTTGAAGGGTTCGAGTGTCTGTTGTTGACTTTCATATTGTACTTACCGTATTTCATCGCTGCCATTTCACCCTGTCATCAGGATTATCCATCTTTCTATTTCGTACTACCTTTCTCTGCGACCAAGTGTCTTGGTGTGTCTGTTTTTTTTTTGTTACATTTCAGCCGACAATGCATTGCGTAAGGAACCACTGAACTCTTTTTCTCTTTTTCGCTTCTGTTAGTGGCTTGGAAATCGAGACAACCGGCTGTCTCAGTGAGTTAACTTGTGACTGGCTCATACGGCACTTCCGAAGACGACTTCTACGAACTTCAGTTGCATCCTTCGCTCCACGTTTTAGGACCAAGCGACCGGTCCGTTTGGCCGCAGTTATTCTCGTTCAGTGAGCCTGAAAACAGTCCAGTTTACAGGATCGGATAGGGTCGCATCGCAATGAAGATAAAGTCCTGCCTCACTGATCTTCCTATTTCAGCGATTCTGAGAGTTGCACGCCTCCACTGATTGCACCTGGAAGATCAAGTTCACCATAAGGGAAGGGTGTTTCTCTTGATCTCGTCGAGCAAACTCGCCTAACTGTGTTTACTTCAACGAGCCGTCTGGAAGATTCGTATCGATTATATATCCATAACTACTACGTTGGGTGCTTAGGCTGGCTTTATCATCATTGTCATTGTGAAAGTACGAGTCAGCGAGGATTAAAATGCCGCGAATGCCCTTACTCAGGAAAGCATCATATGGTGGCTCATCGCCGACCACAGTCGACCTTTCGCGGTCATCATTCGAACAGGAAGGCTTAGGCATTTATGCGAAATACGACAAGGCATCAGTTGGGACTGAAACGATTAGCCATCCTCCCTCGGGGAAAAGCCCCTCGGCTTTTTATCGTCAATCTACAAGTGCAATGTCCCAAGCGTCCACAGCCAGCAGTTCGGCCATGAATAAACCAGGCTCACAATATGTTCATCCCATGCGTCTCGCTCCACGTGCTTATACGCCACCATTAAATCAATCGTGCCAAGCATCCATACTTGAGAGCGATGATTCTCCCAAGGATCCATTTGCGGGGAGCAATTCCCCGACACAGTCAGGATTAGAGTCCTTCAAGCCGGGCACAACCAATCTAAGCAAGACACCCCGACTATCGTTACAGACTCATGATAGCTCTTCCACGAGGTCCCCTGGGGTTTCTCAGACGAATATAACCGGCCGTTCATCTTTCGGATACTCACGAGACAACGGAAGCACCTTGGATACAACGTCACCGGTATCTAGGTCATCTTTGGATTTTGTTTTCCGATCTAAGACGCGTACGAGCATGGATCCTATAGCTCGGGCGGCTACGGTACAAGCAGCACGTCAGGCTTTCGAAGAGAAGGAGGCAGCTAAAACATGGAGGTTTGAGGCTCAACAGATGAAGGCAGAGGAAAAGCAAACAAAGCAAAGGGGAAAACAGCATCTGCAGACCAGGCTCACTGGTGATGACGTAGATCTGGAGGACGGACAAAAGGAGGTATCTGACAAGCCGCAACCTTCAACTTCGCAGTCAGAATCATGCCCAGAGACCTGGAGATCACAACCTAAAAATACATGGGTGCTCTTTTTAACGTGGTTACGAACTAGGATCTTCAAATTGCGAAGAAGGATTCGAAGATTAGCGTGAAGTTGATCTAGGTATGTGATATGATCTTGTTTATGATTACATATACAAAGCACTGGGGCATATGTGCCAGTGGTGTACAGGGCTACTCCTACTCCCTACTAGTAAGAATTTTAGGTATCTCAAGATAACGCATGCTGCCGGGATACTCTGATAATCTCATTCCATTCGCCTCAGTCTCCCCCCGCTATACTTATATATATAAAAATGTGATTGGAAATGGAAATGAAATTAAATATGACACAACATATATAATAACTATACAAACGATAGAACAGAATGCAACGGAGGGAAATGGGGGAGATAATGAACTGTTGCGAAGACCCAGCAGAACCCCAGCGAAGTTTGTCCAGCATAAGTGAAAGTAAGCACCGAACAACATACTGAAGTATGCCATCATAACTCCTTAAGGAGCTGAGCAAGGACGTGAAATTACAGTTTTGAATATGTAGAGCAACGTAACGATGTAAAATCATAGTCTGTCTCAAGATTTATTTCCTGATTAACTGAAACTAACTAGAAAGAGCATCTACCACATTGCGGAAGATCATGTTGGCGGGGGGCATAACGAAGGGCGGCGCATCACCGAAGACGTTAGCCAGTTCTTTCTGCTGAATTTGATTGTCCGAGCCAGTACTAATGTGCTGTGGATCTTGAGACTTCCCACGACCATGCTGGCCGAACAGATTTCCAAGTCCCGAGTTAAGGTGAGAACCAAGGTCACGCGAATGACCATTGCTCTGGAAGCTCTGATCGAGACGGCCAATCCGCTGGACGTTGGCCGCAACATCAACAACAACATAATCGCTCGAGTGCATAGCCGATAGTAAGGCAACTGGATGATGCCCAAGGGTGGTTTCCGACAGCAACGCTAATGTGGGAACATCGTATACCTGTATAGAAGATCGGATCATACGGCTCTTCTTTGAATGCTGATGATTCTGTGGGCACTGTACTGACACAGCGAAGGTATTAGTCTCAGAGCTTGCAGCCAGCAAACGAGGCTGCTTGGACGAAACGCTTCCGGACCCAGGCAATTTGACTGCCCTGACAATATCATCAACTGTATCCCATACGGAGACTGCCTCTTGGGATGCTATAACAAGATTGCACCCGACAAACGCAGCCGCGCAGGGCATGCCCTTATATAAACCGACTCTGCTGTAACGGACGCTGCAATTTTGCGCATCGATTAATATAGCAAGTCCGGAGTTGAGGCATGCATTGGATCCCAGGCAGACGGCAAGAACAGACCCATCCTGAGAAAATTCTATGGAAGCTGCACCTAGTGAGTGTGCCATGCCGACATCGATGTAAGTTTTCAAATCAATGGCTCTCCGACATTTCCAGGTTTCCATAGGCTCTTCTGGGTTGTCAGATTTTAAGCCACTGCGCTGCCTAGTACTCGGGCACCAAAAACGCAAGACTGCATCTGAACCAATGGTCGCAAACTCCGCGCTGTATGCCCGTACTGCAACATCCAAAACACGCACGGAACCTTTGTCACAGAAATGGGGTCCGTCAATTCGGGTAACCAATTCCCACAGGTTGGAAGTATTGTTCCATCTCCAAAACTTCAGGAAAGTTTCCTGGAAGCCATCCGAAGGATGATTATTTCCTGAATCCCCATGATACAGCGCTTGCATGTCTCGTATGTAGGGGCTCCAACTGTCGACGGTGGCCATCCATTTACCATCGTTGGAAACACTGATGTGGGTAACGTCCGGAGTAACTATGTGAGAGCCATCAGGGCCAATCTTCAACGTAGTCGCGTTGGTGCGTGCAAGAGCTTGACGGGAAATATGGCTGTTGGTACGGATATCGTAGGTTTGAAGCATGGAGGCATTGACCAGGGGGTGACTTTCCTGAGTCATCTGACGAGAGGCGGGGACAGCTATAATAAGGTGATCGAGGTTCTGTGGATGCATTGCAGCAGGAACACACTCGAACAGGGGCTGGTCTTCAGGTGAAATCTTGCCATGAGCCTTTGCAGTTTTGGAACACAGCTGCAACCCTGTTATGGTAGAGAAAGGTTGTAATTCTCTCGCTGACAGGACAATAATCGAGTTGTCCGCTAATTTGACGGCATATAGATTCCCGCTTGTAGATATAACTATGTTGCCGATCGGAGACGAAAGATGAGGCAAAAATTGTTTTCTACCGGTGTCCAGCTGCCAGAGCACCATGACCGATTCATGGCCACCTGTTATGATGTAGTTTCCTTTCGTTGAACAGGTTCATCAGTGAAATTGTCTCTATCTTGATGTTCTGGTTGGGAGACCTACCATCCTTAGACCAACGCACGCTGTTCACAGAACTCCTATGCCAATGAAGGCGCCGAGGAGTGAGGTTTCTTTCATGTTGACGACCTCCCTCATCCTTGACAAAACGCAGGATGTCATAGTATATGAGAATAGAACCATTTCGTTCACCTAAGACTAGATCGACCTTTTCCGCATGATCCCGATCTTTTGACCCCTGCGCTCCAGGGCGATTCGACGCTGTGTATTGCCGAACATCAATGCACATGACGCTGACAGGCAAGTTGACCTCTTTCCAGATATAACGAACAGAATCGGAAGGCTGAACAAGCCCTGTCCAGCCGAAAAACACATGCCGGTCGCTGTATGCTACAATAAATTGGCCTTGGCATGCAACCTTGAGGTTAGTGATCTGAACATGTGTTTCGAGTATAATCATGTACTGTGAGGCGTCGTTAGGGGAGGCATTGAGCGCGATCACACGTTTTCCATCCTTGCGTTCCAAAATGAAAAGCAATAGATCGTTCCCAGAATCACTAAGGCACACGTCGACAGAAATCGTCTTGTGACCTACTTCCCAAGACGAGCATTGTTCGCCAGAGAGCCACTCCCACTTGGTCACAGAACCGCTCAACGTAAACACATAGAGGAAGTTTGGGTTTGCCGGAGAGAGTTTATATCCAGTTATGCTATCTCCAGCTGTTGATGGAAGTGTTCGAAGAAGGCGCGAAGTCGCAAGAGAATAGACATGGACTGCAGTCTCGAGTCCAAGGAGGAGATACCTAACATGGAGAGGAGCTTAGAAAACTTTTCAGTTGCATGGTAGGCATTCAACTTACTCGTCATCACTCGTAAAAATTGGATCTAGGTTGCTGTACTGACCAGCTACCATGCTGGTAGACGACCAAGTTTCATATTGCGGTTCGCTTTTCTGTACAGTAGACATAGAGCGGGCTAATGTACACTGCTCTTCGACCCCATGCTTTTCCTTTGAGTTGCTTGTGGCCGGCGTGTGCGCCTTATTGATATCGTTCTTGCTTTGTGATGTGCGACGTCGCTTGACTCGTGTATCGTCAATCTGCATTGTCTTTCCTAAAGCCGCATCGCCAACTCGGGATCTCTTTGACGGTCGTTTTGGGTCTTGAGTATTGCGCATTGGTAAGTTGATATGGAGGAAAAGGCAGAAATCTATAAAAAATCCGATGAATTGTGATAAAGGCTTAAAGACTCCAAGGCTCCAATGTTAATCGTCCATACACTGGCGTAGTAGGGTCGATAGTGTTGATGACGGCCTGGCCTACAAAATTCCAGTCCCGTTGTCTACTTTTTTTTTTTTTTATCATCCTGTCAGGTGCGGTCATTCCCTTTGTAGAATAGCGGTAATTTAACACTAAGAAACAGTAATATATGCGGTATTTTTGGTTCTAGAAAAGCAACAAGTGGGGCTGCGGTCTAGTGTTTGTTCAATCGGAGCACGTCTCGGGCAATTTGATGGCAGACAAAAACTGCACTCATTGTCTTTGGCGAGTACCAGCAATAAGGGACCAAGACAGAAACATCAATTCCTACCTTTCTCCGGCTGTCAAGATTCCAAACGCTTTCTGATAAATCTGACTCCTCTATACTTAATTTACCAACAGGAAACGTTTTCTACGGAAGAAACAATCAGACCAAATGATCATCCCCGTCCGCTGTTTTTCTTGCGGCAAGGTACGTGGCACTTGATACCCTATTGCGCTTCTCGAATCTCATGCAACGTAAATTCCAGGTTGTCGGAGATCTCTGGGAGCGCTATCTCCAACTTCTTGATGAGGGTATACCCGATGGGTAGGTATTGGTAGTCGAATTTCTAACTATGGCGACAAACTAACTGGAGCTTGAAAGTGACGCCATGGATCAGCTTGGATGCAAGCGGTACTGTTGCCGCAGAATGATTATGACTCATGTCGATTTGATAGAGAAACTCCTACGGTAAGTGAACCCCTGGCTGGAAGTACATGCACGTGGGAACTCATATTTTCAATAGGTATAATCCTACTGAAAGAGACCGGGCGAAGAACCAAATATGAACAGGAGCTTTACTCGCACATCCATAAGTGGGGGAATATCTCTGTTGCTTCCTCATATGGTGCAATCAATACATTCACGACCTTGTACAGAACCAGAATCCACTGCCAGAGATCGTTGGCCTGAATGGGTTGTTTGCTTGCATGGCATTGCTAGAGGATGGACGGTCTATATGTTTCATCTTTCTTCTCTCTTTTGCCACCTCACGCTTTGCTTGGTTTCTTCCTGAACTTCATGAAGTGGTCAGCGTTTGATTTGGAGTCATATAACGTCTTGCCAGCTCTATCACGGTGTGACACATGTTAACCGAAGTCTTTGAGCACGCTGATTGCACTCATACTTATGGCTATTTCTCTGTCTGCGGGTGAAGAATAGCTACATATCCCTGCGCTCGGCGGCTTGGGCCAAATTTGGTCTCATGGGTCAAATATGTTCGAGTACGGAGTAGCGATCATGTATATCAGAGCAGCTAAACTTTCATTATCGACTTCACGGTTTAATCGAACGATATCTATGAACCGCGGGGGCCAGTATGGCAATCTTTTAAGCCTAGTGATTATATACATTGTTCAAGTACCACTGGCAGGTTACACTGGCTGGGCTGTAGGCAAAGCTCATCTCAGAATGGCATCTGGCCTGGTCTGAAACAGTACTACTAGTGCCTATCGACCGCAAATACTCGTGATTAGCGGGAGGACGAATGAGATCAATCGCTGCGTGAACTACCGGCCAAAGCTCTTAATATATCAGGTGCTCCGGGCTGATAAGCCATGTAAGTGCGCACGGCGGGATCTTTAGAGATAAGAGGTGGAGCCGTATAGCTACTGCGTGATAGTCTAAGTCAAACCTAATCAAACAGGTGTGCCTTCTTGCGCCGTGCTTCGCTCACTGTCCGTCTCTGATTTGTCGAGTGTAAGTAGTACTGCAGTCCCGATACTTCTCCTGCCAATCGCATAACGAAAAGGCACAGGGCACAGGGTGCAAATACCAGGAAACCGCGCCATAGGGCAGCTGTCTGTTGTTCTGTTCACATGATGGTGGGCTAAATACAAGATACTACGGAGTACAATAGGCTAAGATCGTAAGTGCGTGTGGAAGCGCCGAGTAGTACGACCCCATAACATCCATTGTACACGGACCAATAATAAGCCGGGGTACCCCACCATAGTACTACTTACTACACCTACAACTAGTACTTATGGCCAATGGCTGTTTGTTATCTAATGCCTTGGTCAAAGGTCACGATTTGTTGCTCATCATCACACTCCAGCGGCTATTTTCCAGTACTGGTTAATGATATGCTTCGTATGCTCTCAATAAGATTGTGTTTTGTGTTCTTGTTTGTCAGTTCAAAACCAAGGGACTTCTAAAAATTAAATCATTGATAATTCGTTATCCCTCGAATGCCATCTATCCAGCCAATACAAAGTGGTCTAGGCGGAGCAAGCACTCGAACCGTACATATCGTTGCCTTTGCATGCTTGTCTTGGGTGATAATCCGAAAAGATCAGGGCAATCAATATGTGTGTGCCACATACGAATTTACGGTAGCAATGAAGGGGCTGGAAAGCCTGTACCTCGTACATGATAGGCCTACCAACTAGCCTCATGCATAGCGTATCACAGGCTAAGCTCACTAGGAACAGGAAGCGCGGTACTATCAGGTATTATAGAGCACCCTTCAGTGAGGATGAGCTCAACCCCGCTGGCGTTAGTCAACCAACCGACAGCACGGATACTAACTAATTACTATTTACCTTCATCCGCCTCCACTAAGCTTGGACTCCTATGCGCCATGAGTCGATCTCAACTCGGATTGCTAAATCAATCATCATAGGCCACAACATGATTATCATTCTGACTCCCTTCTACGAGGATTGGACATTCATTGCTCGTATCTTGCTTCGCGAATAGTCTTCAAGATGTAAGTTATAAAACACGTTGCCAACCAATATCTATGTTAATCATTCCAGGCCCGACGGAAGTATAAGCAGCTCATCTGACGAAGGGGTAAAATACAGTGAAGAGTCACCTTCAAGACCCAAGCAACCTAGCCACACTAAAAAGTCGGTCGTCAATGATATTCACATATCTGACACTCGACCTAAAGCAGTGCCTCCGACAGCAACAACCCAGTCGTCGCACACACCCAATACCACTAAAACTGAACTTACAGTATGTGCAAGTTTCTCCGACGCAAGAGTGATTAGTATAAATCCGAATTTTACATTGACTTTAGATGTGTTGGTAAGATACAGCCAATGAATGCGGTTTCCAACAGCAGCCCAACAAAGTCGGATGAGGACGAGCCTCCAAAGTCTGTGATACATGCACCTACTGGGTTCGGCGAGTTTGTGAGTGACCACCATCCAATGCACCTCATCGGCTGTGTGAACTGCACGGTTAACTATAGTTGGTATAAACAGGTAAATGGCGTGCAATACTTTAGCAGCCCTTCACAGTCAGAGTCAGATGGAGCAGAGACCTTAGCATCAAACGTGGTGGCACCTCCTTCCGTGAGCACTGGACCTGAACAGTCGGCCAAGGTACTGATCCTCTGGTCATTGTACATGGATGTACTGACGGGCATCAGGAGAATCAATATGGTCCGACATCACCACCGCCGCTGACTACTACATCTATTCAACCAGCCAGAGACTGGTTTGAACGAGCAACCCCACGTGCACAAACAAGGCAGGAGTTCCTCGACATTGGTAAATATGTCCATTCCACCAGTCATAAAGTATCAGAAATGGCCGTAAATCACTGCGAGGAACAGCCATTATTCACCAGGCCCTCGGTCAATAGAGAACTGGCTTCCACAAGAAATGCGAATGCTGAAGAGGCTGGCCAACATACAAATGGGAAACCCGAAAGTCACCACTCACAAGTTGTACAATTTTCTGATGAAGAATCAGAGATTCGTGCTTTACAAGCAGCTCTGGCTGAATGCTGGGCTCTGTGCAATACACTGGCAACGCTAAGCTCCATACACCGTGAACGTCAAGGATGCACTGTGGATACTCGGGAGGACGTCTGGAGATCGTGCTGGCGATTGTGCCAGGAATTGTACGACAGTCATAATGATGATCGTGCACCGCAAATCAACCCAACGCTTGGCCTTTGCAGAGACTTCTGCCAAACACTATTCGAGACCCGCGTCAGAAACGACGAGAATGCCGATTCTGTTCTCCGTGTTAGCTTCGAGCTGAACAATCATCTGTACAATACACACGACCGTAACCTCCCAGATGCTTTCAGAGAAAGAACCTTGGACTTCTACATCACTATATGTCACCGCCTGATGAAACAAAGGACACTTGTATCAGAAACAGACTCCCTTTTGAGCGCCTGCTGGTCCCTAGCAGAAATGCTTTTCAGCATACGTCAGAGTATCAAAGAAGGTAAAAGGCTAGGTGAGGAATTGCTTGGTTCTGCAGTTCAGGCTTGTTGGGAACTATGCGATATCTTCCGTGAAGGTTGGACTCAACGTACTCTTCGAAACTCTGATCGAGGTACACCCCGGCCAAGTCAAGCAACCTTTACTACGCAGGTCGTTCAAAAACCGAAACCGTTGGACTCTGGTTCGGTTGATGAGTTGATAAATCAACAAGGAAACCCCGAGACACCAACAACAATATTCGACGATACCGCAACCGTGTCGCCCGATGACGCACCAGTACAGAATATCTTCGTCTTGGGCCAAGGCCCAGGTCAGTCTTCGCACGCCTGGTCGTCTAATTCGTCTAATATTTCGGGTCAAAGCCAGTCTTCAGAACAAACATCTTCCACGCAGACGGTGAAGACATCATCCCGGGATCCAAACCTGGCATGTGTTCGGATATTAGTGACCCAGGCCGCAATAAATAGCGGATTCCAGCGCGTCGGGCCACATAGTTTTCCTTCATTCGTCAAGTCTCTTTCTTCGGACGCGTTTGGGTCCATGCCATGGCAGGTTGCACTCCTGAAGAATTACAAGCAATTGGTAGCATTCGATCCGACATTTAGGAGTGTGGGTCCCTCAGCTAGAGCGGGTGCAGCTGATGTGGCATGCGCTGTTGAAGTGATGATGCAGAGCGGGCAACATCTTTGGCTGCGCGATCTTTACCGTCTCGTGTTCGGATTTCACATCGAGGAAGCAGTAAGCCGGAAAGGTATGATGCTTCAAGTATAGCTGTTCGGCCCATATACTTCCACACGTTGTCTGTTGTGCTGGTAACGTCCGGGTTCAGTTGCGTGCTCTCCATATGTCCGGCAAGCCTGATATGATTTAAAATATATAAAAAATTTAGTACGAAATATTTTATTTATATGATTTTATAATCTGTTTTATCTTTTACAGGATCTTTCTATATAAATCATTATTGACATTAGTCCAGTGCTACTAGACTAAGAGTATAATACTATACATCTTTTATTATTACTATTAATAAATCTATCAGACAAGATATATATATATATATATATTTATTTATTACAGGCTACAAGAATTAATGGATCTTAATCCTTCTAACTTATTTCAGTAAGAAATAATTGAGAAATATTTTATCTAAGACAACTATTAGTAATTACAATTCTAACCAATCATAATTGTTTACAGCCAGACTGATAATTGAAATAAGGAATGAATCTGCTAATATTCATTTATAATATCAATTACTTTATTACAAGATATGATGGCGAGCGACATGACTGAGATATATAACATAGTTTTTATCTACTTTATTAATTACATGTAATCTTATTTATTTATTGTAATTATTTATATATATTTCTTTATATTTGTGATAGAATAACCCAGCTATCGAGGTCAAGGTCATCGGAATAATATATTGTAGTAGTTATAAGAGTTGTAAGATTATTAATAACAATTCTATACTTCTCTAATATTTATAAGATGCTGATTATTTTGTGATAAGCTATTATTTTTTTAAAAATTAGTTTATTTTATGGATATAGACTATCTTTATTATTACTAGATAAATATATAATATTTTATAGCTAATTTCTTATTTAATTAACAGACTTTTTATCCTGATAAGTAGATCTTATTATATTCTAATCCTTTTTATTTTAATTATTTAATAAAGATGCTACTTATCAAAAATAATAAAAAATAAAGTTTTTTTATAATTAAATTAATCTAGAATTATCCCTGAATACTGTTTCTATTATTAAGAAAATCTAATAATTAGAAGACCATGTTTATCAGTTAAATCAAATAATTTTTAAAAAAAATATTATTAAGGCACTACCGATCCTTCTTTAAATTAGAAACGAATAAGAGAAAGATTAAGTTTAAGAATATTTTTTGTTTTATTTTAAATTTTAATCTTTAAAAATATCAAGAAAAGATTACTAATTTAAAATATATATTTAAAAGTATTTTTAAAAAATATTTATTAGAGAAATATAAAATTCTTTTTATTATTAATTATATAAAGTTATTATACAGGCAAAGATAGTACTATATTATTAATAATAAAAATTTTTAAAAAATCTATAAAAAATAAAACTTTAATTCAAAGACTAAATCTTTATAATTAATTTAAAATATTATTATTTAAAAATTAATATTATAATTTGATTTAAATAGACTCACCAGCGATATAGCCAGGATTTAAAAGAATTTTATATTTATCTTAATATTTTAAAGTGATACTTTCCTCGCCAGACAGAGAAGAAAGAAATTTTATTATATTTTATTAAATTATTATTAAATTTAAATTATTATATTTAAAAATATATTTTATATTTATTAAAAAAATAAAATAAAATAATGGCTATTACTACTCACTATTATAAAATATAAAAAAATAGAGGAAAGTATAAATAAAATAATAATTAATTTAATAACTATAAATTATATAAATACTTTTAAGAGAATACTAATAAACTAATTAAAAAAGATATCTTGAATGAAAAGGAAAATCTTATCAGAAAAAATAGTAATTAATTATAATATTTTATATATAAAAATATTTAATATTTTATAAATTAATATCTTACTAACAGCAAGAGGATTTAATCTGCTAGAACTTATTAATTTTTATTAAATTTAAAGAAAAAAGTAGAGAAGTTACCTATAATTTTATTTTTTTTATTTATAGTAGGAACTATATATTATTTTTATAATTTTATTTATATTTGAAACAGCCTTAAAATCTTTATGGATCAAGATAACTATAGTGAAGTGGATTTTATTAATTATTAATTTATTAAAGCTTATAATTTTTAATATATTTTAATTATTATATCTAGAATTAGAGCTATTAACTAGATTATTATTTTTATTTATAATGTATAAGAAATTTTAATCATTATTATTAATTTATAAGAGAGCACCTGTATTTTTAAATAATATTATATAAAAATTAATCAGGATTTCTATATTGACTTATTAGCATAGAATTATCTATGGTAGTTTAATATATTATTTATTTTATTTATTTTATTTATTTTATTTATTTTATTTATTTTATTTATTTTATTTATTTTAT